TTCTCAGGTTTATCATACCTTTTTTCTAAGTTACGTTTTACTATTTCATAATCAGCAGCAAAAATTATATAACCTTCTACTAATTTTTTTGCTTCTCCTGCCAAAACTTTCTTTAATTGTGACAGTTCTTGTATCTTACCTAGCTTATTATTCTTTTCTACATAGGTTTCAAAAGAATTCCAAAATGAAAACCACTCAGTCAAGTTGCCGTTGAAAGTAGGGATCGGAAGTGTAAAAACATTTGGACTTATAGGTACTGTCTTTTCCTGTTTAGTCAACTCTTGTAAATTTTCTTTACATTGCTCCACATTAGCTTCTATTATAGTCATTGTCTTCCTAGCCTTTCTTAACTGTTCTAGGTCTCCAAGAAGATCCTCTATTGCCTCCCCCATCTGCTCTTCATCAACTGACTCTGATGCAGATAAGTTCAGCCATTTCTCATGAAGTGACTCAATTTGTGAAAGATTATTTCTTAAAAGTTTTATTTGAATCCTTTCTTTATTAATATATTCCTTATTCTGCTTAATCAATAAGACTTTATCTTCAGTTTCAACCGGTTGTACCAGTTGACCTATTTTCTCTAGTCTTTGTCTTAACTCTTCAAATTCTTTATTTATAATTTCATTTATCGCCATACTCATCTTATAACTGATTTATTCTTATTTATGTATCTATAATTTTTATAATTTTTAGTAAATTTTTGTGTTTTTATTTATCTTTCGATCTTAATATTATAACTTTCTCAAATCTACTCAATCGTTAGAATGACAACTGGCAGTCGGAGGAAGAGGAGAAGAAACAAGAAATATAGAAATAGAAGAAAGATAAAGAAAGATGAGAAAGGTAAAGGAGTAACGAGAATATTAATTGATAGTCCAGATCAATTCCGACGCACCATGTCGCAGAAAGAAGTTAATTATTAATAGATGTGCTTACAATAATAGTAAGCTATCCTTTATTAGGAGATATTCCCTTTATTTGGAAAATGCTGATTCAGTTTAATTTCTTTTATTGGATAATAGCCTGC